TTTAAAATAATTTATATTTTTACTTAATAAAAATTTTTAGTGATAAGATAAATAATTAATATAAAAAATAATGATAAAATTAAAATAAAAAAATATCTCTCTTAAAATATAAAAAATAATAATTAATTTAATTTTGAATTCTTTAAACCTAATGTTGCGGCATGCTCACCTAAAGTAAAAACTTTATTGACTCTTTTCAAAAAAAAAAAAAGAAGAGGAAAACTTTATTGACTCAATTATTGCATATAAAACAATTATTTTTCCAGCCAAATCAATCCTCTTTGACACAAAATCAGCTTTCTTAGGTCATGCATTGCCGTTTGCCAACACAACAGTCTGCCCAAAATGGCTTCTTTTTTTTTTTTGTACAGTGCTTATCAACTTTATTTTTTAGAGATTATGAAAAAAATTATCTTAAAATTACGTTATTTCAATAAATTTTTATTAAAAAAAATTCAACTACTTTACTTTTAAAACATGTATTAAGGTAATTTTTTTTTTTTTTTAATTTTTTGAAAATGAAGTGGACAAACACGAACTTTTTTTTTTTTAAATAACAAAAAAAATTATGTAAAACTCCAACACATAATCCACAAAAAAAATAAACAGTTTAACTTAGAGTCAAATGCTCGGGACTGGAGCCGAACGTTCCTTCTTTCTTTTTTTTCTTTTTCTTTTTTTTTTTTGGGTTTTCAGCATCTAAGAGACTATCTAATGTGGCAGCATCCTGCCTATGATGATTACGATTACGAGGCCTAACTAAATATCATTCTCATGGGCTTAAGATGTATGAACACTACTAACAAATAATAATCTTCATCTCAGCTTAATGGGCTTGTTTCACAGGCCCATAATTATAGGGCCTGATCTTGCTCATCGTCCTGCAAAGTATAAACCAATTGAAACTATGAGTTTTCGGTAGTAATACATTTATTGGTTTGAGTAAGTATCATATTAAAACTAGTTTTTGTTTTACTCGTGTGTGGTATGGTTTTTTTTTTAATCTTTTATATTAGAGTTTAGATTTTTTTTTTATCAATTCTTGAGTTTTATAATGATTTTTAATTAAAGATTTTAATTAAGTAATTAAGATTAAGTTAAAAATTGTGTTTAGTAATTAATAGGAGTATTTTTAATATATATATAATCACATTAAAAAAAATATTAAGACAATTAAAAAAAAAACTCAATATTAATTCTTATCTCATATATTTGTTCCTTTTCTCTACTATTATTCTATTTAAAAATTTTGATAATATTTTCTCTTCTCTTAATTAAAAAACTATAATATAGTTAAACATGATTAAATACCTATGAATTGTATGTGCATTGTATGAGATCATATTTATACATTAGTTTTTATTATTGTTGATGTTGTTGTTATTATAATAATAATAATAATAATTATTATTATTATTACTAAATAGCAATTTAAAAAATGTGTTAAAAAATAAAAATAAAGCATCTATATGTAAGCTAAAATAAATAAATAAAAAAGAATCAAAATTTTTATTATTGTTGATGTTGTTGTTATTATAAT